ATCTCTCTCTCTCTCTCTCTCTCTCTCTCTCTATATATATATATATATATATATACACATACAGTATTTCATTATCTATTTTTATTTAAAACATAGTAAACTACATTCAAATTCACACTCAGTCACTGAGCAGGTAAAATGTACCCTTCTTATTAAATACATATACTCTGAGTTATTTTGGTATGATTTGAAAAACATTTTCTAAATTTGACAATAGCATTAAAACTGTGTAATAGCGTTATAGAAGGAAACTATTAAATACCATGCACACACAGTAGCCTACTAATCAGCTACCTGAATATTTTGGAAACTGTTTATTACTGTGTGTAAGCTACTGATTTCACATGAAACAGTGAATCAAAGCTTCAGTTATTTTAGCGACCACTGTTCCTAAACTGATCCATCTGCGTTACTCGACACCGGAGTCAAATTCCTTGTATGCCCAAACATCCATGATTCTGGTCTGTCTGTGTTTGGTGCTGGTTGCACTGGGTGCACTGGGTGCAGTGGGGGTGGGCTGTCCATGACCTTGTACACGTGCGCCGCTCTCATGTTGGCCCACGCTGCCACGGCGCAGCACCACAAAGACGGAGGAACCGGCTCGGTTGACGGTGTTGCTCAGGGAATTGTCTCATGTCAGCTCCCACAGTGACAACGTCTCTGTCTTTATCACGATCTGTCTCGTTTCAAAAAACAAACAAACGTGTCAGTCAGCGGGAGGCGGAGCGAAACGCCCCGAGAGCTGCGCCGCTGGGACGCTGTGTTCATGGATTCATTCCTGTGCCGATTGCACAGCTTCCTCGTTATTAACAGCAAAAACAAGCAGGTAGACGCAAGGACGTGACATTTTATTGGCTCCGAGCTGGAGTGATGAAAGATAAACACGTCCTTCCTTCATGCCCACTGTCAGCAAGAGAGAAGTTATGGATATCTGTGGGAACAAGAGGAGAAAGGTAAGCGGCGGTGTGCGGGGCTGCAGGCGCAGCGGGGCCGGGAAGATGAGGCGTGGGGCTTGCAAGGTCCTCCGCTCCCTCGCGGTGCACGACAACAACCATACGAAGGACGAGGAAGAGGACGACGACTGCTTCTCCATCAGCTTCCTCCGGAGCGACCGGCTGGACCCCGCCGCGGCGCTGTCGCCCCGGTACAGTCTGCTGCGGGAGGGCGGCCGCGGGGGCTACGGGGGGGGGGACGAGGGCCTAACCCGGG